CAGGGAAATTATATAATTATATAGATCAGTATGGAGAAAGATTTCCTTGACTCTAGTAGGACTGATAATCTGGAAAGGAGGATGGAAAGGATGCAGCAGTGTAAGGGAGGAGATGCTTGGGGTGGTCTAGATGGGATGCAATGGGAGTTTCAATAAGGTGATGGGGGAAGGTAGGAAGGAAGAGGAGAGAACAGAGGATTTGGTGACTGAATATGGGGTTGACAGTAATTCCTGGATTTGTGACTTGGAAAACTAAGTTATTTAAGACTGAGAATCCTGTAGAAGGGACAGATATGAGGGGAAAGAGTTTTATTTTGGCTGTGTTGTAAGGGGTACCTATGAGATATCTATCAGGAATTTTCTAGTAGGCAACTGAATTGGATTTGGGAGAGATGAGGTAATGATCCCTCAGAATTTACAACTGAGGGATTAGATAAGATCACCCAGGTTGTGTCTAGCAAAGTAAAGAATAAAACTGAGAGATAACATTTAAGGACTGAATGAAGGAAGACCCACAAAGCAGGAAAAATGTTTGCCTTGAGAAAGAAAGGGGTAGAATCAAAAGTGACTGGTGCCATAAAGGCCAGGATAGGAGAGAGGTTCAAGACTGGTCACAGCTGCAGTGAGATGAAATAAAATAAGACTGAATTGTATTTACTGAGTTTGGCAGATGAGCGGCCTTTAGCAATGCAGTTAAAGCAGCAATGCAGAGAGACAGGGAAATCAGTCACATTGTAGCTGGTCTGAGGAGCTTACCAGAGGTGGGGGAGTATAGATGGGGAATATAAAGTAATTTCTCAAGAAGTTTACCTGGGCAAGGAAGGAGAGAGATGGTGACATCTTGGGGTGCAGAGGCACATACAAATGTTCTATCAACATGATGACAAGACTGAAGAAAACACATTGCAAATTTGTTAGAATATCAATTTATAGAAAATTTGGAATTTTTCTCCTTTCTTGAGATCTCAATCTAGAGTCATCCTGGCTGATGCCATGAGGTAGGGACATTTTTCTTAGAGCCTCCATCATCCCTCTTGTCTAGCTCTCTCCTGCAAACCATTCCTACAAACACAATGGTATCCTACCCAGGCTTGAGTTCCTGGAAATGTTTTCTTTCTTTCCTCAACAAAACTTACTGGGTGTCGTGGATATGCCAGTCAATTTGCCTGCCATATGTAACTTCCCCTCCTGGTTTAAAATGTCACATGAAGAGCTTCAGAATGACTGTCATTCAATGCTTCTTCCTCTGTCTTCTTTCCCCCTGAGACATGACTGTTTGGACCAGCGATGAACACCCATCCCAAAGCACCCAGTCCAGTGCTGGCCAATGGTTTAAGTGTCCTGGTTAGAATAAATAGACTAGGCCAACTATATTCTCTCCTTGGAGAAACTGGATTCTGAAACAGCTATTGTGGGGACATTTGAGAGTAAGGTCCTGAGGTGGTTACCAGTCAGCTCATGGATGTGTTTGTAATTTCTTCAGATATCCTTAAAATGCCCTGTGCTCCCTGCCACTTAAGATGAATTGCTTGTCCTGGCGCGGTGGCTCACACCTGTAATCCAACCACGTTGGGAGGCTGACATGGGTAGATCATGAGCTCGAGATCAGCCTGGCCAACATAGTAAAACCCCTTCTCTACTAAAAATACAAATATTAGCAGGGCGTGGTGGAGGGCACCTGTAATCTCAGCTACTTGGGAGGCTGAGGCAGGAGACTAGCTTGAACCTGGAAGGTGGAGTTTGCAGTGAGCCAAGATTACGCTACAGCACTCCAGCCTGGGGTGACGGAGGGAGCTGCTTAAGTGAATTTTGCTCACCTGCAACCAAAATAGCCCTGACACCTGGGCTGGACCACAATGGCTACTGTTCCATTCTCTTTAGCTAAGCTAAATGAGTTCCTACTTAAGTGACTTACTGTAAGCATGGTGAGTAATTTTCTGTCTTCTATTTTACATTTAAATTATTGATACTGTGTGTGTTCAATGTTCTCTTGATATGAAAAAAAGTGTTTTCTTTTTTGAGTGAATTGATACAAATCATCATTTGACAGATAATAACAAGGGATGACTCCTGCTATAGCAGCTTAAACATACAGGGGTTTATTCTCTCTTAAAAAGGAAGTGCAAATTTAATACTTTGGGGTGGTGTGGTAGCGTCATGGTGTTAAGGGACTATGGCTTGGCTTACTCTATGTTTCTGCTCTGTGATCCTTAGGGCTTGGCTTCCACTTTTAAGGTCCCCACATGACCTAAGTAGGCTGCTGGGCCTCCAGTCATCATGAACCATCATGTTAGCTAATGTTTGCTGCAATAATCCTGAGTAATGAACCAGCCAAAGACCTAGTAGCTTACAACAATGGGTATTTTTTTGTCTCATTCCTACAGGTCTGCTTCGGGCTGCAGGTTGGCTGAACTTAGCTACCAATTGAAGTTTAGGTCTTCATCATATTTCTCCACATTTATCTTGGACCAGAAGCTAGCTATCTCGGCTACTGGCAGAAGCAGACCCGGGCAAACCAAAACATGGGAGTACTTTCCAACCCTCTGTTCACATTATGTTCAGTAACGTCCCATTGGCCAAAGTAAGAAAGATGGCCAATTAGCTGGGCTTGGTGGCATGCACCTGTAGTCCCAGCTACTCAGAAGGCTGAGGCAGGAGAATCACTTGAACCTGGGAGGTGGAGGTTGCAGTGAGCCGAGATGGTGCCATTGCACTCCAGCCTGGGCAACAAGATGAAACTATGTCTCAAAAAAAAAAAAAAAAAAAAAAAAAAATGGCCAAGCCTAAAATCAAGGTGTAGGGAAACACACTCCAAGTAGCATAAAGGGTGGGTTGTAGGTTGTCTAATTCAATTGAGGAAGGGAGTGAATAATTGAAATTAATAATCTCACCTACCACATGATTATCATTCTATCTGGATTACAGGACGAAGGAAAAGGGAGAAAGGAGTGCATCTGTCAGCCACATCACATCAGCATCTTTAAGGCATCTACTCAAAGTCCAGTACAACACTTGCAATTACATTTCATTGGCCAGAAACTTTTCATATGGCCGTTCCTTGCTTCAAGGGAGGCTGGAAAATGTATTTTTTCAAATTGCAGGTTGCAGTATGCTCAGCTAAAAAAATTTTTTAAAAAATACCAAATCAGAAAAGAAAATAGGTGTTGAGTAGGCAACTGGCAATTTATTTGCCAGTGTTCAACAGGATGCATTATGGGTATCCCTCACTCTTGTGAAGTAATCTGATAACTTTAGGTGCTCATTGTGATTGCTTGGTATTTGTATAACTAGTTAATATTTAAATCATGATAATCCAGCCAGTAATGAAACACTGCAAGACTGCTGCTTTGCAAGGAAGAAAACACAAGTCATCTGATTTCTCCTTTACAAAACTTAAACCTTTTACTAAAGCTCAGCTTATTTAACTTATTTTTTTCCCAAAATATAGGTGATAGGGCCAGGAAGAGTGGCTACAAAAAAGTACGTGCTTTTAAAAAGAAAGTATGTAAGTATTTCAAGGACACTTGTCTGCAAGAGAGATTTCCAGTAGGCTCTTCCTTCGGGTTTTTACTCAAATGTTACCTTTTCCGACCACTCAACTTACATAAACGCATTCCCTTTTCCCTGGTTCATTTATCTTCATACTACTTGTCACCATACTTGTTTACTTTATTATCTGTCTCTCCCTACTAGAAGGTGAGTGAGTTGAAGGCAGGGCATGTTTTTGTGCTCACCGCTGGTGAATTTTATTACCGAAAGTGGTCCTTAATGATGACTTCAGGGTGGCTGGCCGACAAACCAGCTAGAATCAGGAGTTATTTTTCTTACAGCGGCATCATGGGGCGGCTGCAGCCATTTTGGAACCTTGAGACAAGTCTGAGGAGCAAAGGCGGGATGTTGAAGGTGGCCATGTGGAATCCTGGAAGGAGACTGAGTCCTAACGTCGTCCCTGAGCAGCTGACACACGCGGAGCAGGCTTCTTCCAGGCTTCTTGTTATGTGTGATAAAGAGAAAGACAGCCCCTGCCACCTGGGAGCTGGCCTGCTTCTATCTGCGCGGCCTTGGCGCTCTGTGGTGCATAAACAGTTTCACAGAACAGCAACATCAGACGCAACAACACACAAGACCACTTTGTGACTTGGTTGATAAATGCAAAAGCCAGACCACTCTGTCATCACGCCCACGGCCCTGTGGAGAGGAGAGCATGGCTGATGCAGGGAATTCATGATCTCTCACAGGAGAGTTCTGGGAGCCAGTACCCGGGAACATGGGTCCCCAGACCCCGCACTGCAGACCCGAGGGACCTGCAAATTTGAGGAACAGGTGTGTGGTGCTGGGAAGAGATACAACAACGCGAGGGGCCATTGCACTGCCTTCAGATGGTACCAGGAAGCTGCTAAGCTGGAGGACCAGAGTGTAAGTAGGTCCCCGAACCTGGGGGACAACAAGTGCGTGAGAGTAGGGCTGTCCTGGGACCTAGAGTCCGTGTGTGTCGGTAGCGGGAGTGGGACAGGAGGAAGGCAGGTGTGCGGAAAGTCTGGCCCCTGCACTGCAGGGAAGCACGAGGATGGCTGGCGGTCCTGGGGTCGCCTTTGGGCTGGGCTGCCCCTCCACCCCCACCCCACAGAGAACAGGGGCAGAGCGCAAGTTCAAAACCCGGCACGGCCAGGTTCCACGGCAGAACTGCCCCGGGAAGGAGAGCAGAAAAGCTGGACTGCGCGGGCCAGGAGGGGCGGGACCGCTGAGGGTCACGGGGAGAAGCGGGGGTGTGGGGGCAAGTTCAAAGCCCGGCCCCTCCCGGCCGCCAGGGCCAGGAGCTGCGTGCACGCCGGGGCCGGCTCAGAGAGGGCGGCGGCTGGTGCGCGGTTGCTAAGCCCCGCGCCCCCGGAGACGTTCCCGGTGGCTGTCGCCGGGCGCTGCGCGGGGCTGACAGGCGGGTGGCGGGAGGGAGAGAAGAGGGAGAGTCGGCGCGGGCTCGAGGCTGCTCGTCGTGCCCCGCCTTCCCGCGCCTGCTCGGCCGTCGAGCCGCGTCCCAGCGCTGTCACCTCTGCTCCAGGCTCGCCCAGAGCCCGCCGCCCGCCATGCCCGCTGCCACTCCAGCCCCGAACCCGCCGCCGCCCCCTGCCCGGCCAGCCCCAGCCTGCTCGGCGCGGCCTGCCCCAGGTGAGTACCGCGCGCCCCAGCGCCGACCGTTCTGGGCGCCACCTTGGCGGGGGCGGGAGGGCTCATTCACCTGAACTCCGGACCCCCGCTCCGTGCGGGAGGGAGCAGCCGTGCCAGACCCCGCGGGGGTGTACGAAGGACGGTGTGTGTGTGTGTGTGTGTACACGTGCGCGCGCGCGGGTGTACACCACCTGAAACTTGCTTGCGAGGGGGAATAACGCGGCCCGGAGCTGATTTGAAACGCACTGGGCATCTTTCAAGGTGCAGGTGCGGTGAGGCTGCAGAAGAGCGAAGGCGCAGGGAGGGAGCTGACGTTTCTTGAGCAACTCAACATGCCAAGCGCTTTACCTAGAGTTAACCTTATTTCATCCTCTCCACAAATCTGTAAAGGATGGAATTATCCCCATTTCTCAGATGAGAAAACTGAGGCCCACAGAGCTCGTGCCTTGCCAAGGGTCACGCGGCTCCATAGTGGCCAGGCTGGAGCTGGAACCCAGGTTTCTAGAGGTCTCTGACCCATCTAAATGACAAGAAACTCTCAGAACTAAAGAAACACAGAAGAACCAAAGATGATTAGGAAAAAGGATACAGGCAGAGCATTTGGGAATTAATTGAAAAAACAAAAAACAAAACAAAAAAAAACCTGAGCTCGTGAAATATCCTTTCAGTTAATTTCAAATATGGGACCACGTTTCACTCCTTTCCGTGTCTGGCTCTGGGGGCGAGATGTGGTGAGGAAGGGAGGTCTGTGCCAGTGCTAGGCAGAGGCGTCTGGGGACACCTTTTCAGAGTATCTGCCTGCTGGGAGGGGGGAAGTGTGTGAGAAGTTGTGGAGGGAACTTGGTTGTTATTTGTTCCTGACAGCTAGTCATTCTGTCACCTCACCTCCTCCTAGTTTATTCCATTTCCTTTCCTTGATGTATTGTCCAAGATGACAGCTGTCAAAGTGGGGTCCCATCTTCATCACTTGCTGTCATAAAGCCTCTTGGCATTAATTAGGTGGCCCTGCACTTGGGTAATTGTATTAGGAGCTGTGCTACTGCTTACGGGGGAGATCTGTTGGGCTGATGTTGAGCTAATGATCTCAGTGAATGAGGCGTCTTGAGCAATAGGCAAATATTGTGCTTATCCTTAGGACAAAGCAGCAAGAAGCAAGACCCTCAGGAATTAAAAAAAATAAAAGAGTATTGGGTTTGCCTCACAGCCCAGCTTTAGAAAAGCATTTCAATTTAACATTTGGATTGCCTCACTGAAGAAAGAACAAAGCAGGGCAGAAAATGATTTCTGAAAGATGCTCTGTAACTCATTTCATTTAGGTTTGAAATCATTTTGAGTCATGTTCTTTTATAGCCAGGTTTGCCATCTTGGTGCACACTGGTACCCTGGGTGCCTTCACTCCCAATTGTTGGTCCCTCCATCTCTTTGTTGGAGGATGACCCTTGGGCTGCAGAGCCTATGTTTGTAGGGACCCAGAACAGTGAGTGCCTGGGAATTTGCATCTCCCCTGGGGCAGCCCGTATTCAATGACTGAAGGGTACTGGAGTATAAATAGTCCAGTTCCTTTGCCCTTGTTTGGGACACTCTGAAGCATGATATCCTTTGTTTCCAGAGATCCAGTGTGGAGTGGTGTCAAGTTGACATCTATTGGTCTTTGCTTGGCTTGTTTCCCTTGCTTGGCCTGCTACTCTTCTTGTTTTACTTCTTCACATCCCCACCATTTTTTCCTCGGAATATCTCCTAATACACTTTCATAGGAATTCTTATCTCACGATATGATTCTAAGGAATCCAGGCAAAGACATGGACCCTTCTCACTGTTCATGTTTTCATTCTTCCTATGTTATCCAAATATGACTAACATCAATAATAGGTAGCCCATGCTAACCTGTACGGTGCCTTTGTATGAATTCACAAAAGGTGTTCTCTTCTGGACAGATGGATCCCCATGCCCAGGCAAAGGATTGGCAAGCAGGTGTTCGGTGCCCACTGGCCCCCTGATCAGTGCACCTTTGGCAGTGCACACAGTACTAGCAATCGTGGTGGCATGGTGCTCAGAAAAGCAAACAACAGAGTTGCTTAGTTGTCCCAGGATCTCGTTTCTTGGCTTATCTTTTTTCCCAAGAAAAAAATCCCTCAAAGAGGGATTTTCCCCCTTTTTTTCTCCTAGTTTTATGGAAATTTCCTAAATATTTGAGTTATTTCAGCCAGATGTTTTGGTTTTCTTTGGACAAGCTGGTTAAATGTCTTAGTTTCTTTCTAAAGCCAATAAATGGGAGGAAAAGGGCTGCTTTGGCTGGTGGAATCTCAGTCCTGCAGCCTGCAGGAGGGTGGTGGTGCCTGGTCAGGAAGGGTGGGTAGATCTCCGCCAGCCTCCAGGAGCTCTCAGAGGGGCTTTGTCTTGACGGTGGGGTTACTGGGTAGGAGCTTGGATGGGCTGCTTTAGTTGGAGGCTTTTGCTTGAAGAGGTTTTCCTTTCCTTGGATCCAGGAGCCTCATTGTGTCTGATCTGGCATCCCGGGTTTCCTCACGTTTTCCTTTGGTGGCTTCTCGATAATGTCTAAATTTTGCCTGTCCGCTGATGAAGCAGAGCCCCTTTTGAAGATGCATATGTGGGGGAGTTCTTTGAAAAGAATGTTTTTGTTAACTGCTTGGTAATGTAGGTCAGAAGAGAGAAATCTAGGGAAAGTGAAAGTGTGGGAAGAAGACATCTGTACTGGGAGTTGGGGCGGGGAGTTTTGTTCCATCCTCAGAGTTCCAAAGCCTCCTGGTGACCTGGGGCAAGTCACTGAACTTCTCTAGGAACCTCAGTGTCTTCGCCACTCATTTAATTACAATTGTCCAGCCGACCTCAGAGTGTTCTTTGATGATCAAAGGGAAAATATTTTCATGGACTCATCCAATGATTATAGAGGAAGCCCATAAAATCTTTATCCAGAGACAGCTGGCAATCTCTTGGGGACAGTGATATATGTGGAGGCATCAGGATATGGACAGTGAGCAGTAGAATAGAGATAAGCACCAGATCAGTGGCTGCGTGAAGGGATGGGGAAGTCTCCAGAGCTGCTTGTGCTGGTTTTGAAGGCTAAATGTTGACCCAGAACTTTGCAAAGGGCAGGGTGTCATGTCGTGTGTCGTTATGGGGGTGAGTCCATCAGAACTGCCTTCACATTTGGGCTCTGACCCCTCAAACCTATGTGATCCTGAGTGAGACACCCACTTACTCTGAGCCTCAGTTTCCTTATTGGTAAAATGGGCATATGCAAATTGCTCTGAGGATTTAGTGATGTAAAGCACTTACCAGGTATTATTACAAATGGGAAATATTGTTATTAAAGTTACCTTTTAAGCTGAATGGATTCTGTTTGGCTGCCTTGTGTCAGTACTTTTCAAATATTACTGGACATATGGATCATCTGGGGATCTTATTAAAATGTAGATTCTGATTCAGGAGGTCTGGGGTGGGGCCTAAGATTCTGCTTTTCTCTCTAGCTCCTAAGTTCTTGTAGATATCGTTTGTTTAGGGACCACATTTTGAGTGTAACGCCCTAGGCTACTCCCTCTTGGGTAAAGCCTGAGTCCTTTGTGGGGGCTGAGGAGCACTTTGTTTGGAGAGATGATGGGGAGGGTTCAGGCCTCCTAGGTGGGTCTGGCCTGGAGCTGGGGCAGAGACAGTTGGGAATTGCTGCTGTTGAGTAGGATGCTCCTAATGGGTAGGTGATGGATCAAACCCAGCTTCCTTCAAATGCCCTCGGACCAGCCTTCTGGAGGAAGTTCTTCCTGGCCAAATGGTCACATACTGCCTGTTCTTTCAGGCTGGCCCTGAAGATGTAGAGATGAATAAGCCATTGGCCCATCACTGCCCCTGCCACAGTGTGATGGGGGGAGTGGGTGAGGAGGGGTGAGACATAGCAATGTACGATTAGGACATGGTGAGATGAGCACTCTGTGGCGTTAAGGGTAATGGAGAGGGAGGTGGGAGACTTAAAAATGGGAGGAACACTTCCTCGTGGTCATTATATCTGAACTGGGTTTTGATGGATGAAGCATTGTGTCTGGGATTGGAGGAGGGCAGAAGAGTGTGTGTAATAGCATTATAAGACTGAGGAACAGGATTTGCAGAAGTTGGGTGCCATGATGAAACAGCTTGGTGTGTTTAGGTTGTTGAACTAAGAGTTGTTTGGAGCATGGAGTGTGATGGGGAGGACCTGGTCAGGAGGCAGAGCTCAGTTCATAAAGCTGTATTAGTCAGGAGGGTTTATTAAGGTTTGCTGCAGTAACAAATCAACTTCATCATTTTAGCAGTTTAACCCAACAAAGGTTACTTCTCACACACAATGTGTGTCCCTCACAGTCAACTGATAGCCAAGTTGACAGAGCTTCTCCCAGCTTTCAGCCTTGCCATCTGGAAAATGGGGCCATTATAGTCACCAGTGCAGGAAGAGCTAGTGTGAGAGGGTCTCTGGCTCTTCTGGAATGAGTACAGTGTTGCTTTTGTCCACAACCCATTGGTCAGAACTAATTGTGAGGGGGCTGGGAAATAGGGGCTGGGGCCTGGGATGGAAGAAAAGTTCAGAGAACATCAGCTCTCCCACGTATGTCTTGTTATGTAGCTTAAGCCTCATTCTGAGGCCACAGTTTCTCAAATAAGAGTAGTATGGGAATTCCTTTAAAGGAAAAAAAATTCTTGTAGATTCCTAGTGTTGCTTACATTATTTTTCATTATTTTTATTATAGTGCAGTTCTGATATGTAGTAGTTTTAAATGGGTCTAAACTTTTTATACTTAGAGCTCTCATACAACCACACAACCAAAACAAATATATAAATAAAATATCAACACAGTTACAAGTCAAATAGATTTGGATTAACTTCATGAATTTAATGTTTTGGATGAAGTTTATTTTTGCTAAAATGAAATCCCTATTTCTGGTTATAACAACCGTTGTTCAGGTTCTTATGAGTTTGGTATGCGGTGTGCCATGCTGCAAGGTTGTATGACGGC